ATGTTGGCCAGGCCAGTCTCAAACTCCTGACCTCAGGTGATCCACCTGCCTTGGCCTCCCAAAGTGCTAGGATTACAGGTGTGAGCCACCGTGCCTGGCCCAAAAATACGTTTAAAAATAAAAGTTTTTTTTTTTTAAATGGAAAGAAAAACAGATCTTAGGAATGATCCTCTGTGTGCCTTTTGCAGAAGGACCCTTGGCAGCTGCTGGTTGCAGGATGTGAGGTTGTGGGCGTGAGGGCCACACACCCTGTGTAGGAGCCTAGGGCTTTTCCTGGATCGCAGTCACTCCCTCTGCCTCACTGGTCTCCGCTGCAGGTGGCCTTTGTGGTTCGGTGACATTCTAGTTGGTTAACATGTGCGTTTGTTTGGGTGTTCTGTCCTCAGGCATCCGAAGGCGTCCCCATGAGGTTCTTTACCAAACTGGACCAGCTCATCGAGTTTTACAAGAAGGAAAACATGGGGCTGGTGACCCATCTGCAATACCCTGTGCCGCTGGAGGAAGAGGACACAGGCGACGACCCTGAGGAGGACACAGGTAGGGAGGGAGGGACAGGACGGCAGGAGGTACTTTTGGGAACTTGCCCTGCACCCACCTTGAGTGCTTGTAGATTAGGTGAGTCCTATTATCAGAGGGAGATTGTTGGCATGGGGTTAAGGACAAGTTAGGAACACAGGCTCTGGGGTCAGGCAGACACGGGTTAAAATTTCTCCTCCCCAGCTTATTAGCTGTGTGACCTTGGGGAAATTACCTGACCTCTCTGAATCACAGACTTCTCTTTAAAGAGACAGTAAAAATAAGGCTGGGCTTGCTGACTCATGCCTGTAACCCTAGAACTTTGGGAGGTCAAGGTGGGAAGATCGCTTGAGGCCAGGAGTTGGAGACCCTCCTGGGCAACAAAGGCAACCCTGTCTCTGCAAAAAGCGTTTTAAAAAATTTATTCAGGCATGGTGGCTCAGGCCTGTAGTCCTAGCTACTCAGGAGGCGGAGGCAGGAGGATTCCTTGAGTCCAGGAGTTCAAGGTTGCAGTGAGCCGTGATTGCACCACTGCACTCTAGCCTGGGGGACAGAAAGAGATCTTGTCTAAGAAAAAAAAAAAAAAAGAGAAAGAGAGAGAAAGAGAGAGAGTAAAAAGACTCCACTTCCTCTGCTTCACTTGACTGGTCTTTAAAAAGACAGAGAGAGAGAGAATAGCAATAGTACCTGCCTCTCACGGTATCCCAAGGATCAAATGAGTTGAGAAATGTAGCACACAGAGCCTGGCACATATTAATAGTAAGCACTCAATAAATGCAGCTACGGTCATTAGTATCATTACAATCCGCTGAATTTCAATGTGAGGAGAGTAAAGGAGGAGACCCTTGCACTAACTGGGAGGATGAGGACGGTGTGTCTTTATGTCATCATTAAAAGGGGGTGGGGGAAACATAACCCCTAAAAATATGTTGAAAAAAATGTACAGTCCCAGCTGGGTGCGGTTGCTCACGCTTGTAATCCCAACACTTTGGGAGACTGAGGCGGGTGGATCACGAGGTCAGGAGATCGAGACTATCCTGGCCAACATGATGAAACCCTGTGTCTACTAAAAATACAAAAATTAGCCAGGTGTGGTGGTACACACCTGTAGTTCCAGCAGCTTGGGAGGTTGAGGCAGGAAAATCGCTTGAACCCAGGAGGTGGAGGTTGTAGTGAGCCAAGATTGCAGCACTGCACTCCAGCCTGGCAACAGGGAGACTCCGTCTCAAAAAAAAAAAAAAAAAATTATACAGTCCCTAAAAAGTATGTGAGACTTAGGGTGTCCTTTACACCATAGGGACAAAGACCAATAGAGCAAGAGTCAGATGGAGAAAGTCTTGCAGAGAAGGAGCTTACCTGGGGATGTCCCACTTTTCCCCTCAAAGATTTACTGAGAATATACCTAAGGGAATAGAAATCATTGTGTTACAAAGACACATCTGCGTATGTTCACTGCAGCACTATTTGCAATAACAAAGACATGGAATCAGCCTAAATGCCCATCAGTGGTAGACTGGATAAAGAAAATGGGGTACATGTACACCAAGGAATACTATGCAGCCAGCAAAAAGAATGAGATCATGTCCTTTGCAGGAATATGGATGGAACCGGAGGTCGTTATCCTTAGCAAACAAACACAAGAACAGAAAACCAGACACCACATGTTCTCACTTAAGTAGGAGATAAATGATGAAAACACATGGACACAAAGAAGGGAACAGCGCACACTGGAGCCTTCCTGAAGGTGGTGGGGTGGGAGGAAGGACAGGATCAGAAATAACTATTGGGTACTAGGCTTAATACCAGGGTGATGAAATAATCTGTGCAACAAACCCCATGATGTAAGTTTACCTATGTAATAAACCTGCACAGGTACCCCTGAACTTAAAATACAAGTTAAAAAAAAAGAAACAAAACAACAAAAAAAGGCTTATTTCCTAAAAGAAAAGCATGAGATACCTAACCGGCCCGTCAGTTGCCCAGGGCTCTTCCTGAATTCCAGCAGGTGGAGACTGCCAGGTCCCCCAGGCTCTCCCCCAAGAGAGGAAAGATTCGTCCAGACGTGCTGAGACCCTTGCCTGGCTCCTGCCCGTTCTGGAGGCTTGCTGCAGGCATCCTTTCTCTCCCTCACCTGTGGGCTGGCTTGTGGGCCACCAGGGCCCCCTGCTTCCTCCCATCCTCATGGAAACGCCCTTTTCATGGTTGCGCAGCTCTTCATTTCCAAAAGGACCGCAGCTCCATGGAGGCTGAAGGGGTCCTAGGCAGGCCCTGTCCCTTCTGGCCTCCCTGGTCTGAGTGAGCGCCGCCCTCTGGAATCAGGGAGGTCAGGCTGTGGAAGAGCTAGGGCTGACCTGTCCCATTGTGAGCCCAAGGTCACTCGCCAGCACCGCGCCCTGGCCGCACCTGCCCCAGCTGCCCCCAGGCGCCCAGGGCCATGCTGAGAAGCTGTCCTGAAGAAACGTCCTCCACGCTAACCACCCTCACTCCCCTCGGGCCACCCACCCCAGCTAGTTGGGCCCCTCTGGGCATGGCTGTCTGGAGGAAGATCCCGACAAGTTTCTGTGAGGGCCGAAAAAAGAACCTCAGTCTCATGACTGCTGGCTTCACTTCCCCAAACGAGGTCGCCCAGTTGTCGGCTTGACCCAGAGCAATGCTACATGAGGCACCCGCAGTCCAAGAGGTCTGCTTGGGCCCAGGGCACTGCCAGACCGTGGAGCTCAAAGCAGACTCCTAGTTGTCTTCAGAACCCCAGAGACAGGAAGTGAAGGGCCCGTTCTCTAAAGAGGAGGTCCCCCGGGGCCCACTGTGGTTGGGCCAGGGGCAGCTGCTATGTGTGGGAAGAGGCTCAGAGCGAGCTCTGGACCTGAGGGACTCAGCGACCTTTATCCATTCGTGGTACGTACAGGATGAACCTTCTCCTAAAGGGGATGGGTGGGCTCCCACTACCAGGCCAAGTTCAAGTCATTTGTTGAATGTCTGTGAGTGAAGGGCACCCCCTTGCTTTCTTTTGTGTGTTTCTGAGGGTCTGGGGGAGGAGAGAAGGAAGGGCAGAGGCTGTAGAGAGGGGACCAGGGAGAGAGGGAGAGGGGCAGTGTGGCTAGGCCTGTCTGCCTCCTTACCCCTGGTTCCCTCCTGTGGTTTTGGCCTATTCTGGGAACTGGGCCTCTGCCCAGTCCAGGGCTCAGCCATCATGAGGCACCTGTCTCAGCCCCTGAAAGCCTGAGAGCCAGGCCCATCCTGCTCACCTGCCTGCCACTGCTGGCTTAGTCCGCCCAAGGTCAGCAGCGCTGCAGGCCTTTCAGGCCCTCCAATGGAGCAGGGCCTTCTGGCCCCGGCAGGTGTTTGCTGATGGCCAAGGTGGGGCAGACACTGTGCTAGCCAGGGCCCTGTGGCAAGAGGCTGTCCCTCCAGGAGGGAGTCAGTGAGGGACGTGGGGACGCAGATGGAGATCGATAACATGGGTGTCGTGGCCTGGACCCCATGGGGCTGCGGTGAAGGCCAGGTTGCATGCACAGTGTCCTCACCAATGGCCTTCCTGCTGTTCTCTCCGGTAGAAAGTATCGTGTCTCCCCCCGAGCTGCCCCCGAGAAACATCCCTCCGTCTGCTGGCTCCTGTGAGGCCAAGGAGGTTCCTCTTTCAAACGAGAATCCCCGAGCGACCGAGACCAGCCGGCCGAGCCTCTCCGAAACGTTGTTCCAGCGACTGCAAAGCATGGACACCAGTGGGTGAGTCCCCACTCAAGTCCAGCCGGGGCTTCATCTGCAGTGAGCCCAGCCAGGGCCGGGCTGGATGGCTTGGGTCTGGATCCTAGTTATGGGCCTGGTGACCAGAGGGAGGTGGGAAAGTCTCCGGAGAGGGTTGCTTGTCAGCTTGCACCTCAGAGGCCTTTGCACCATCGGCTTCAAGAAGGCCAGGGGCGTGGGCCTTAACCGGAAAAGCGCTCCACGGGGGTGGGGGAGCATTGTGTCTCCAGGCACGGCCTGGCATAGTGTAGGCACTCACTGGGTATGTGCTACATTAATTAATAAGTTAGCACCCGGTAATCTCCATGCCTTACTAAATGTAACTTTGTTTTGTTTCTTTGTGAGAAGCGCTCCCCTGCCCCCCAAAGAAATCCTAATGACAGGGCTGAAGCCGCATTTCCAACTTGAAGGATCCATCTGAGGCTGCCAGGGCTGCCCTCCTACTCTCTCACTTGGCAAAATATGAAGTAGATGCCGATGGGACACATATGCCACCGGGTTGCTAAGATACTTGGCGTGTTCCTATTTTCACCTGGACATACCCATTGGTTCTTCCCTGGGGTCTCCAGGCTGAGCTCTGTGCACGCTCCTTGAATTATTTGTGCTGTTTATCAAATAGCCAAATATCCAGTGTTGCCACTATGTTGATTATCTCAATATATGTGTCTAAATAACAGATGTTTAAAAGTATTCCACATAGGCTGGGCACGGTGGCTCATTCCTATAATGAGCCAACCGCGCCTGCTCAATCAATTAATATTTTAAAATGTAAAACCAAAAGAAATCTAAAAGAAATCAAGAAACCCTAACAGATTTGTCATCAATGGATTTGGATATCAGAAATTGGAAAGTTTTTGGTGAAATCATCTCACTTTGAAAAATTGACATCACCACGGAAATCTTGCTAAACAAACCCCGCAGAAAAATAGCAACTGACTTTAAATTTATTCCCTTTTCAGTGCCTTTCCGTTGGAGTGCTTGTCAAGGTGTAACGGCCTCGCCGAGCAAACTACAAAGAAGCAGCAGGCCAAAACCTCTTAAAGCCACGATCCTGGTGGGCGAGTGAGAAAGGGCTGGCCAACTGTCCTCCCACCCCATTTCGCTTCCCAGAGCAACTGGCCTCCCAATTAAACTGTTAGGTTTCCAAAAAAGCTCTGCAGCACAACCAAGCATTACTGGTTCAAAATTCCGTGATAACCAAGATCTCCTCAACCAACACACAACCGGAGGAAGGAGC